TGGGCAGGGAACGGCAAGGGGGCTTGGAAGAGCAGAAGCAAAGGCAGAGGCAGGGAACGTGACGTCACGGGAAAGCTGTGATGTGTCCACTGTTGCCGCAGGAGGTGTGGGAGGGGAATGATGCTCCGGGGGCAGGGGCTCACGGAGGCCTGTGGGCCAGGCCGGCTGCGGGGGTGCGGGGCACTGAGGAGCTTATCAGAAAGACAAACATCTGATAGTTTTTTGTTTTAGAGAACCCCCTGGAGGGCACAGTGTGAGAAAGGTCTAGACCGAAAGCTGCAGCTTCTAGCAATGCAGGCAAGAAATGATGAGACCCCCAAATAAGACTAACAGAATGGGAAACATTCCAGAAACAGCAGAAGGAAGCATCTGCAGGACCTGGCACCTGGGGGGCCTGGACTGGTGGTAGATGCAGAGTGGGGAGCCTCCTGAGAGGGGGAAGACCAGGCGGGGGCCCAGGCCAGTGCCAGCCTCTCCCCCTTTTCTGGTAGCAGCAGCTGATTATCTTTGCAGGTGACCCCTTCCCACTTGATGAGATGATCAATCAGGTGCCTGCTCCAGGCCAGCCATGGGTTGGGGTGGGCTCCCCAAGGGGCCTCCCCGACTCTCCTGGGAATGTGGACCTTCAGTAGAGGGCAGAGTGCGAGGCCGAAGGCCATTCAGAGCTACTCATCGTGTCAGGGGCCCACCCCTGGGTGAACCATGGAAGCACCTAGCAAAAGCCCGCAATGCAGCAGTGAGTCGAAAAGTGACCACGACAGGGCCTGGTGGGCCGAGGGCACCCGGGAAAGGTCAGGTGGCCTGGGTGTCGTGGAAAGCAGCAGCAGTAGTGGTGGGCGCCAGAGCAAGACGCCTAGGAGCAGTTAAAATCTACAAAGAAGGCCGGGAGTGGTGGTTCACGCCTGTAATCCCAGCACTTTGGGAGGCCGAGGCGGGCGGATCACGAGGTCAAGAGATTGAGACCATCCTGGTCAACATGGTGAAACCCCGTCTCTACTAAAAATACAAAAATTAGCTGGGCATGGTGGCGCGCACCTGTAATCCCAGCTACTCAGGAGGCTGAGGCAGGAGAATCGCTTGAACCCAGGAGGCGGAGGTTGCGGTGAGCCGAGATCACGCCATTGCACTCCAGCCTAGGCAAGACTTCATCTCAAAAAAAAAAAAAAAAGTTAGCCTGGCATGGTGGCATACATCCAGCTACTTGAGAGTCTGAGGCGGGAGGTTGAGAGCTGTGATCGTGCCAGTACACTCCAGCCTGGGTGACAGAGTGAACAGGTAGACCGTGTCTCAAAAAAAAAACAAAACAAAAAAAAAGAGTAGAAAGGAGAAAATTGGGCAGTGGGTCTCAGGGATCTCCCCATTGATTAAAAGAGCTATGCCTCAGGAAGACAAACACCACGTGTTCTCCCTTGTGTGGGAGCCAAACAAGTGGATCTCATGGAGATAGAGAGTCGATTGGTGGTTACCAGGCTGGGAAGGTGGAGAGGTGCAGGAATGAAGGGAGCTTGCTCAATGGGTACAAATACATACTTACTTAGTATTCAGCCAGGCACAGTGGCTCACACCTGTAATCCCAGCACTTTGGGAGGCTGAGGCAGGAGGATCTCTTGAGGCCAGGAATTTGAGACCAGCCTTGGTGACAAAGCAAGACCCTATCTCTACAAAAAATTTAAAACTCAGCTGGGCATGGTGGCACGCGCCTGTAGTCCCAGCTACTTGGAAAAGCGGAGGTGGGAGGACCGCGTGAGCCCAGGAGTTAGACCACAGAGAGCTGTGATCGAGTCACTGTAACCAGCCAAGAGCAGCCCGTCAGCTACTGTTTCAGAGCCCCTCTTTGGAGAGGCATGAAATCAGCAGAACTGGCTGTGCCCACGGCCCTTTCCCCCACTGTGTCTGCAACTTCCGAGGACTCATAGGAAAGCACTTAGGAAAGGACTTCTGGGACTTCTTCAACTCTCTATCTGCCGCTAGTCATAGTGCTTCATGCATACTGGTAAGCATGTTGAATGCACAAGCAGCCACAACATGCTTCAGAGAAGCTGCAGGTTTGCAGCCTGGGGAGGTGAGTGTGAGCAAGGGGAGCCTCCCCCAAGCTGCTGCAAAGGCCCCAGTCCTCGCCCTGTCTCCCTTGGACTTTCTCACTCCCAGGAAACTGTGGCTCCCAGGCCCAGGCCCTGGCACCCAGGAAGCCTCTGCTGAGTAAGGACAAAGGGCACCTGTGAGGCAGACGGCATGAGTGCTGGCTGGAGGGGACGTGGGGTCATCCTGGCTAAGTTAGCCTGCCAGGCAGGATGGCAGCAAAGTGCAAGTCATGGTGAGTTAGGCACAGGCAGCCTCACAGCAGGAATGCCCGGCCCTCCCAGCCCAGGCGGAACCTGCCTGAGTCACTGCCTGGCCGCAGCCCCAGCCGCAAAGCTCTGGAGACCAGCCCATGCCCCGGCCGTTCTGCAAGGGACACAGTGGGCACGCCAGGAGGACATGCCAGGGCACGCTTGGGTCGGTGCTACCAGGCTCTTGGGGCCTGGGAAGCCCCATCCTGGATCTTAACAGACATGGAATGTGTCCTCATCACACATGAAATATAATGTTTACTCAAAAAATGCAAAGAAAATTTAAGGTTTTCTTGTTTTTTGTCTGTTTTGTTTTGTTTTGTTTTGAGATGGAGTCTCGCTCTGTAGCCCAGGCTGGAGTGCAGGTGGGGGATCTCGGCTCACTGCAACCTCCACCTCCCGGGTCCCAGTTCAAGCAATTCTCCCACCTCAGCCTCCCAAGTAGCTGGGACACAGGCACAAGCCACCATGCCCAGCTAATTTTTATATTTTTTAGTAGAGACAAGGTTTCAGCATGTTGGCTGGTCTGGTCTTGAACTCCTGATCTCATGATCCACTCACCTCGGCCTCCCAAAGTGCTGGATTACAGGAATGAGCCACCGCACCTGGCCAGAAAATTTAAGTTTTATTTCTTCACAATAATCACACAACTGTAGTTTTACAGACATCATACACATTGTTTAGCTCCGACTTTTTCTTGTGTACTTCCTTGGCTTGCCCCCTTCTCAATATGAGTCTCTCATCAGTAATCCCCAATGTTTTCCCTAAGTTTTTCTCAGTGCTTATTCAACATACACGAAGTAAAAATGTACGTGACACTGGGAGCTGTGGAGCTGGGCACGGTGGCTCAAGGTGCAATCCCAGCACTTTGGGAGGCCAAAGCAGGCGGATCATGAGGTCAGGAGATCAAGACCATCCTGGCCTCAGGAGGCTGAGATTGTGCCATTGCACTCCAGCCTGGGCAACGAAGAAAGACTCGGTCTCAAAAAAAAAAAAAAAAAAAAAAAAAGCGGAGCCTCATCACACACTCTTTTCTGCATCTTCTGACCCCACTCCCTCCAGCGCGGCTGGGAGCTGGGGTCCATCCCTCCTCCCGACCATGTGAAAGCCGTGGTGAGCATGTTGAGCGGGCAAGCAGCCGCAGGGTCCCGTGGATGGGAGACCGCTTTGCCATCCACTGTGGGTCAGTGCTCCATGGCCCGCCTTGCGTGTCCTGGCGTGTGTATTTCTGTGTGTTAGATCCCAGGGACGCTGGCTTCGTCAGTCTTCACAGGTGTTGCCGGCGGCTGTCCACCGAGGCGGCCACCCTAAGGGGCTGTTGTAACTTCGGCCGGCCTGGCAGTGGGCGACGTTCTCTGCCGTTTCCCTGCCGCCCGGTGATTGGCGCACTCCTCACTGTGCAATGGCCGTTGGCATTTGTCTGTTTCTTGATAGACGTGTGTGCATTCCTTGCGGGTGTCTAGGAGCTGTTTGCATATTACAGCCATCTGTATCACTAGTATTTTCCTGAACGCATCTTGTCCACAAACTTTATTTATGGCATCTTTTGCTATATAAAAGATTTTATATAGCTAAATAGAACTCTCTTGTTTTCATTTAGGTTAGGAGGGTCCTCCTTGCCCCAGGATTAATTCCTCATTTTCTGTTAAGATTTGTATTGTTTTATTATTTACTCTGAATCCCTCAAGAGTTGATTTTACAAATGCAAGTGGAAATGCACATTAATTTATCTCAGATGCACAGCCTGTGTGCCAACACGGCAACTCCACCCCTTCCGGACCCTTTGCTGTGTGCCAGGTCTGAGCACTTCCACGCATGAAGTCCGTCGGTCCTCACAAGTACCCAGGAGGTAGGAACTAGCATTACTTCCATATGACAGACGTGGAACTGAAGCACAAGGACGCTAAGGGACTTGCATAAGGTCACACAGCTGGTGAGTGATTGAGCCAAGTTTCACCCAAGGATCTGACCTCGGCGTCCCCTTGAGGAGACTCATATCCTGGGGGGTCCTTTCCTCCCAGGTTTACAAATGTATTGCCAGAGTGTGGAATACAGTTTTCTCCAAATTCTGTTCTCATTCCTAGTCTTGTACGTGTCTACTGCTCCCATCCAGGGAAACGGAAGTTACCATGAGCTCAGGTCTGTCTTGTCAGCGCTTGCAGAGACCAGTCCATGCGTGGGGTTGCTTATCCATTCCAATGGAAGTATGAATGAGATGCATGTTGGTTTCCTAGCTCATTGATTTCTATTTTTATTAGTTTGTAGGTTTTTTTGGTACTTAAACTATATAGGTCCTTTGAGTTTTGTTTTCCTATTATAATAGAGAAGGAACAAAAGTCTTTGCTTTTCCTCTGAATTTGCTGCTGGAGCTCAAGCGTGAGTTCGCCTTCGACGATGCCCTCCGCATACTGAAGTCATCTGAAGGTCACTGCCCCCCGATCCTCCTGAATATGAGGAAGAACTGGTTGGATCCCCCAGCCAAGTGGCAGACATTGTTTTTGGCGGCTGCAGGGGGTGCCCCGTGTGACAGGCACATGCCGAGACCTGCCGGTGGAGGAAGTAGTACCTTTGTTTTTTGACTTTGTTCCTTTTTGTGGAGAACGGGGTCTCACTGCATTGTCCAGGCAGGTCTCGAATTCCTGGGCTCAAGCTATCCTCCCACTTCTGCCTCCCTAAGAGCTGGGATGACAGGCGTGAGCCACAGCGCCAGCAGGAGGTAGCACCTTTGAAGATTCCACTGACCACCTGACCACAGCTAGCCAGGGGCCTGGTATCGGGGACGCCACCTGAGCAAGCCATCCCGGATGGCCTGGCCTCCAACAACTCAGGGATAACATGGGCTTCAGGAGGAACCCTCTGGTCCAGCTGCCCCACCCAGCCGCCCTTATGAGCTCCAAGTCCCTCTCCAAGCCTTTGCCAAACTCCCCAAACCCTCTGCTCTCCTCCTTTTCCCACCCCGATTCCCCACCTTCCTCATCTCCACCATCCACCCAGGAGGCATCTGCCGCTGGTAACATGGCTGTAGGATCCCCCTTGGTTCAAGAGGTGGGCTCCCAGAAAGACCCTGGGAAGTCCCCCCAGGAGTCTGGCCAGGGGAACCCATTTATGCTGTTCCTCTGCCTGGCCATCCTGCTGGAACACCACGACCACATCCTGCTCAATGGGCTGGATGACAATGAGCTGGCCACGTGCTTAGACAGCTTTGTGCCAAAACACCACCTGGGGCATGTCCTGTGCTGTGCCGGGGCTCTCTTTGCTGATTACCTGCAGTCCGAGGTGAGGGACTCAGAGGAGGGGTTGAGGCTACAGCCGCATCGTGATCAGGCCCACCATCAGCCACACCAGATCTCCATTCTGTGCCACGAGGGCCAACACATGAGAACCCCCCTCCCTGCATGCCATCCCTAGACCTGTTGGAGCATAGAGCCCTTCCTCCCCCAGGCCTAAGTATGTGGGGCTGTGCTTCGACGCTGCCCCCCAGAGGCCACGCCCTGTCTATTCTGCTTCTGTTTTTTTGTTTTGGTTTGGTTTGGTTTTTTTTGAGACCGAGTTTTATGCTTGTTGCCCAGGCTGGAGTGCAATGGCATGATCCCGGCTCACCGCTACCTCCGCCTCCTGGGTTCGAGAGATTCTCCTGCCTCAGACTTCTGAGTAGCTGGGATTACAGGCACCCACCACCACACCCGGTTGATTTTTAAAATATTTTTAGTAGAGATAGGTTTCTCCATGTTGGTCAGGCTGGTCTCAAACTCCCGACCTCAGGTGATCCGCCCACCTGGCCTCCCAAAGTGCTGGGATTACAGGCATGAGCCACCATGCCCAGCCTGTTTCTGTTGTTTTAACAACTATACTTTACACACATGAAAAAAAAAAAAAAAACTCCACCTATTAAATCAGATGCATTGGTTATTTTTTTTTTAATCATTGCCTTTTATTGATTGGCCTGACAGCTGGGTATTGACTCCTCCCACTGTAAGTCCCACCTTATCAAGCTCTCCTTACCATTCTAGTCACGTTTGTTTCATGTATTTAACCATCATTTTGCTTAGTCCATACAGGCCTATGACTTTTTTCCTTGATAAGTTTCGCTTTTCTCATCACGTGTTCTAAGCTGCAAGTCCGCCCGTCTGTGTCTTGTCCGTCCACACCCGGCCTGTGCCCAGACCCTCTCCACCTTGCTGCGCCACCTGCCTCCCATCAATCCTGCATGGCGACGGCTTTTTTCTTTTTTTTTTTTTTGAGACAGAGTCTGACTCTGTCGCCCAGGCTGGAGTGCAATGACACAATCTCGGCTCACTGCAACCTCTGACTCTCGGGTTTAAGCAATTCTCTTGCCCTCAGCCTCCCAAGTAGCAGGAATGACAGGTGACCACCACAACGCCCAGCTAATTTTTTTGTATTTTTAGTAGAGGTGGGGTTTCTCCATGTTGGCCAGGCTGGTCTCAAACTCCTGACCTCATCAGGTGATCTGGCTACGGCTTGTTTTCAGGCAATATCCTGCCAGCCTCTCTCTGTGTAATGACGGAAATTCTTGGGTTATCTTCTCCATCTGCCCCTGTGGTGAGCAGTTTACTTCACTCGGTTATTTCCTGCTGTCTGCAGTGCTGTTTCTTCACATCCCCTGGCTTGCCTGTAAGTTCCTTCCTGCCTTTCTACGGGTCCTTTCCTGCCTATCAATGGGTCCTCGTGTCTCTGCTCTACAATCACTTGTGCGTTTCTCTGCGCCACCGTTTCCCACGGTGGGCTGCCCTCCATTGCCAGGACCCGAGCTTCAGACTCACCTCTGCTCCTCGCCACCCCAGGCCCTGGCTGTGGCATTTGGGATAGGCACCCCTGCCCCTCCCCACCTCTGTGTCCCGGGGATTTGGCCCCCACTTAAAACTAGAAGTCCAGAGCCCTCTTGTACTTTACTTTTACGCTATTATTTGACCCGAGTGAGGCATGGATACAAAATGACTTTTTTTCCCAATCACTGCCAACCGAGGCGCGGCGGGAAATCTTACTACTTTTCCATCCGTAAGACATCTCAGCAGCTCCCGTCCTTCCTGGCTGGTGTCCCACATCAAACGCCAGGTCCAGCCGAATTTAGTAAACGGACTCTAGTGAATGCGCTTCTGCCCAGCCTGCGTTGGGCCCGTGGCCCTGAGGAAGGGGACAAGGCCTCGCTATCCCGCCCACTCCGGGTCCCCCGAGTCTCCCTTTCCCGCTGGAATATCATAGGCTGGCAGGAGAAAAATGGGCCAGAGCTAAGGCCTTCGGACCTAACTGGTGCTCCTGGGAGGTGCGGCTGCGGCAGCCCTGCAGTGTTCACCCACCACTGGGTTCCTGGAGAGGGAGGGAGATTTCTGCGGCCCCCATATCCTCTGCCAAGGACCTTCCATGGGGCTCCTCACCTCGCCAGCAGGTCCCTGGCCATGGTCTCGGCAAGGTGGCCCGCCCAGCAAGCCTCCTGGGGTGCAGCTGGCCTTCAAACGCATCCTCCACACACAAAACGCAATTGCGGGCGCCCTGCTCAGCCTCTTTCTGCCCAGACTTCTCTGTCTCATTCTTTTTATCATTATTATTATTTTTTTTTAAAGACAGAGTCTTGCTCTGTCGCCAGGCACCAGGCTGGAGTGCAGTGACGCAATCTCAGCTCACTGCAATCTCCGCCTCCCGGGTTCAAGCTGTCTCCTGCTTCAGCCTCCTGAGTAGCTGGGACTACAGGCACACGCCACCACGCCCAGCTAATTTTTGTATTTTTTAGTAGAGACGGGGCTCCCAAAGTGCTGGGATTACAGGCGTGAGCCACCGCGCCCGGCCTCTTTTTTCTTGATCAACCAGTTCAAATGACACAGAGGGTGGCTCAGCTAGTCCCTTGTATGAGAAGACATCCCAACGGGCAAGGAAACGCCGCCCCTTTCTTTGCAGGCACCCCCATCTCCATCAGGGAGTCCCTTGGAGCCCCGCAGCCAGCACGGAGTGGCGGGAGCGCATCCATGTGTGAGGGAGCCTCCAGGGAAGGAAGGGAAAAGGTCACACTTCTCTCCCCTTAGGTTCATGATTCCTTCAGCCCTCACCAGCTCTCCAGTGTCTAGCTTTCTGTTTACACGGCAGAGATGCTCAAAGACATGAAGAACTGGCTCTGCTCCCTCACCCTGGGGAGAGGTCTCCACTGGGCAAAGGGCCCAGAGCACACAAAGGAAGCACGGAGGCCAAGATGATGGCATTTCAGGCCTTGGGACCCCTGGTTATGGGTGGAGAGCGGGTGAGTCCTCCAGTACCCCCAGACTGGAGCACGCTCTATTCCAGCTGTGTCCATCCACCCCATAATCACTGAGACGACCACAGAGCCCTCAGACCCATTCAAAACCATCTGCACGATTCACATGCAATGGATATTATTCACCCTTAAGGAAGAAGGGTCAGGCACCATGGCTCATGCCTGTCATCCCAGCTATTCAAGAGGCTAAGGTGGAGGATCACTTAAGACCGGGAGCTCAAGACCAGCCTAGGCAACATAGTGAGACCCCATCTCTATAAAAAAGAAAATTGGCCAGGCATAGTGGCGCATGCCACCAGGGTTGCTTGAACCCAGGAGCTTGAGGCTGCAGTGAGCTATGATCACACCACCGCACTCCAGTGGTGGGCAACAGAGCAAGGCCCTAAAAAAAAGGAAGGAGGCTGGGCTTGGTGGCTCATGCCTGTAATCCTAGCACTTTGGGAGGCCAAGGCAGGCAGATCACCTGAGGTCAGGAGTTCGAGATCAGCCTGGCCAACACGGTGAAACCCCGTCTCTACTAAAAATACTAAATTAGCTGGGCGTGGTGGCACGTGCCTGTAATTCCAGCTCCTTGAGAGCTGGGGCAGGAGAATCACTTGAACCTGGGAGGAGGAGGTTGCGGTGAGCTGGGATTGTGCCACTGCACTCCAGCCTGGACAACAGAGCAAGACTCCATCTCAAAAAAAAAAAAAAATAGGAAGGAAATCCCGATGTGCTACAACACGGATGAACCTTGAGTGAAATACGCTGGTCACCAAAGGAGAAATCCTGTATGATTCCACTTACGTGAGGTACTTGAATAGTGAAATGTACAGAGAGAAAGTAGAATGGTTGGAATGGTGGTTGTCTGGAGCGGAGAGGAGGGGCATGGGGAGTGTTGAATGGGGACAGAGTTTCAGTGTGGGGAAGACGAAAGTGTCCTGGCCGGGCGCAGTGGCTCACGCCAGTAATCCCAGCACTTTGGGAGTCCAAGGTGGCAAATCACTTGAGGTCAGGAGATCAAGACCAGCCCAATCAACATGGAGAAACCCCATCTCTACTAAAAATACAAAATTAGCCAGGCTTGATGGTGCATGCCTGTAATCCCAGCTACTCAGGAGGCTGAGGCAAGAGAATCGTTTGAACCCGGGAGGCGGAGGTTGCAGTGAGCCAAGATCACGCCATTGGACTCCAGCCTGGGCAACAAAAGCAAAACCCCATCTCAAAAGAAAAAAAAAAAAGATGAAAGAGTCCTGGAGATGGAAGGTGGTGAGGTGCACGGTAATGTGGGTGCACTTAATGCCACCCAACTGCACACATAAAATGGTACATTTAATGTTACATATATTTTACCACAATAAAAAGAAATGATTTTAACTCCATGCACATTGACCCAGTAATACAGCGAATCCAACAACAATTTACTGAGCTCTGCCAGGTGCAGGTGCTGGAGCTGTCCTGGTGACAAAAGGGGACCACAGCTCACCCTGGGGGCTCCTGCCTGGCCAGAAGTGCAGAGGTGACTGTGAAAAGCCTTGCAGGGGCTCACGGGGGAGCTGGGAAGAGGACCAGAGCGGCACAGTGGGTGTGCCTCTGACAGAAACCACACCTGGAGGGGGGCTCCTGGGTCAGGGAAGTGGACCCAGCAGGTGTCCAGGTATAAACCAGCTCCAGCGTGGGAGGCTGGACTCTCCGAAAGACGGGTGTGGAGACAGGAGAGCCAGATTCCCGGCAGCAGTAACCTCGGGGCAGGGAAGAACACATTGGTTGGGGATGCACAGAGGGTTTGAGAGGGAATTTCACTCTTTTTGACCAGGCTGGAGCACAATAGTGTGATCTCGGCTCACCACAACTTCCGCCTCTCGGATTCAAGCGATTTTCCTGCCTCAGCCTCCCGAGTAGCTAGGATTACAAGCGCCTGCCACCATGGCTGGTTAATTTTGTCTATTTTTTAGTAGAGACTGGGTTTCTCCAAGTTGGTCAGGCTGGTCACAAACTCCCAATCTCAGGTGATCTGCCCACCTTGGCCTCCCAAAGTGCTGAGATTACAGGCGTGAGCCACCGCGCCCGGCCTGTTAAATATATTTTATACATTTTTGTATGCCTGAAACATTTCATTTTTTAAAAAAGAAAAATGCTGATTTCAAGTCTGGACGACATCCAAGCATCGGCATTTGGAGGCAGCTGTCACAGTGTGCACTGGGTCAGAGCCCCAGAGCGAG